AGCTCCCACCCACTCCTTACAACACCAAAGGGCTCTAAGGTTACAGAAGACAGAGGAGGCCAATCAACTGCCACTTCAGCTCTGATGCAGTGACACTCCTTCCTCTGTAACCCCCTTGGTAATCTGTGGCACCATTCACTATGGTTTGCATTCTACCTCTATGTCTGCTCCTCCTCTGTACCTGGGGCTCCCTCTCCTATCCTGATATATTAATGTAAATGCCTAGAAGCTCCACCCAACTGTCAATTATAGATATTTCTAGGAAATCGTGATACTGGGATATAAAGGATACCTTTTGCTCTGTAAAACTTATAAATTGTTTGAATGTTCCATAAAAATGTAGTACTTACATAATTTTAAAAATCAAGTGGCCCAAAAACTCCATTCTGCTCTACAAAACTCTCACGGACCACTAATGACACTGGCCACAGGCTGTTAGCTCTCATCTGCATGCTGCTGTCTCCTAAATCTGTTCCAATCCGGGGGCTCTGATAAGTTCCACCTTTGAGTACACAGAAGAATAAAAGCCATCTCCACACACCTCAAACTCAGCACTTCACACCACACCTCTCCTGCACCCCCTCCCATCAAGGCAGGGCAGGGCATCAGCAGCAGGAAAGCACAAATAAAATGCCTGAGACCTCCTAGACTTTTCTTATACCCCATACTTTGTCAGTCATGCTGATTTTATATCCAAACTAGTGGCCCAGTGCATGAATTTGTGCACATTGAAAGGAAATTAATTAGAAGAAATATTTTAAGACTGCTATTTCTCTATAATAGAAGTGTCAACCAAATTCAAGATCAACAATGACAGATCAAAACACACACGTGTGATTGGCACCAGCGAGAGCTTTATATGTATCATGCATGTGCGAGCCAACTTAGTCTTTTATATGTAGAGAATAAACTTGCTTAATTAGACCTGCTTTCTGATTTAGCTAAACTTTTTCCAGCCCAGTGAAGCACCCCAACTTCTCTTTCAAGTAACTGTCAGCAACACAGCAGTAAATATCAACACAAAGCAGATTATTATTGTAGATCATGCAGGGAGAGCAAAGGGTGAAATATTTAACCGCAGCAGTGTTTGACTATATTCTGCGCAGCAAGAAAACCTGAAGTCATTTTCAAGGTCCACCATTTCTTACTTTTCAGTTGGGTCAAGTTTCTAAGCTTCCTAAATCTCCATTTTCTGGCTAATGAAAGAAAATAGGATTCCATTGAGTCTCCTATCTACCTACTCTAGGGATCAAATGAGATAAGGCATGGGAAAATGCTTCACAAACATTTGGTTACAGTGTAAAGTATTTCCACCTGGCTATAAAGCAAGTCATGTTCCTGGGCTAAAGAAAGTGCAAGGAGGCTAGTGGTCGCTAAGGAGAGGAAGCCGGGTGTTGCTACATGTCGTTATTACCAGGACAGAGGGAAGGACACTTAGCCTATTAGCCTTTTATTTATTTATTTATTTATATATATATGTCCCAGTGCATGAAATTCATGCACTTGGGGGGGGGGGGGGGGGTCCCTCAGCCTGGATTGCAAGAGGGCACAGGCCAGGGCGAGGGACCCCACTGGTGCATGATCAGGGCCAGGGAGGGACGTGGGAGGTTGGCCAGCGGGGGAGGGACCACAGGAGGGCTCCAGGGCATGTCCAGCCCATTTCGCTCAGTTCCGATCAGCTGGACCCCAGCAGCAAGCTAACCTACCGATTGGAGCATCTGCCCCCTGGTGGTCAGTGTACGTCATAGCAAGTGCTTGAGTGGCCTTAACATATCATTAGCATATTACACTTTGATTGGTTGAATGGATGACTGGACAACGGGACACTTAACATATTAGGCTTTCATTATATAGGACATATATATATATATATATATATATATATATACACATACAGTGGGGCCTTGACTTACGAGTTTAATTCGTTCTGTGATGGAGCTCGTAACTCAAATTACTCGTATGTCAAATCAAGAAGTGAATGAGTGAGACACATGATGCTGGGCTGACGTTGCGGCATTCACTGTGACGTTCGCTGCGTCAACTAGCGGTGGGGTATTTGAAGGTGGCTCGTAACCCGAATTTTTAGCTCACAACTCAAAGCAAAAAATCAGCCAAGAGACGGCTTGTATCTCGAAAAACTCATTAGTCGGGACACTTGTAAGTCAAGGCCCCACTATATATATGTATATATATATATATATAGAGAGAGAGAGAGAGAGAGAGAGAGAGAGAGAGAGAGAGAGAGAGAGATTCCCCTCAACTAGTCACTGCTCTTGATCCCCAAGACACTTCTTTTAATCCAGGCCCTCATTTTTCACCTAAATTAGGGCAAAATCTAATTGGTCTCCCTGGGTGTGTTCTCCAATATGTTAGGGGCAAATAGAATATTGGGGACTAGCTATGGTTATGGGAAATATTAATCATGCTCTATTAATCATGATTGCCTTGTATTGGTTAAGAAAGGACATTCTAACCTCACTGGGAGTTGTACGCTCCCAGAGCCCTGGGAGTCAATCTTGGAATGTGGTCCATTCTCATACAAGAACTGCCTATTATCATGGAAAGATTAACAACCTTGTTGCTCAGCCCAAACAATGGAATCCCATCACAGCCAGCATTGCCTATTCCCCATGTAATCTTTGTCCTACCCTATAAAAGCAGCTGGCTTATGGGGGGCTACAGAGCAGATTTTTGTGCATAACCTGCTGCTCTCCCATACTGCTGGCATTATTGGAATAAATGCTCATATATGATTCAACCTTGTTTCTGCTGAATTGGCTCAAGTAGTGACAGGTAGCACGGACCCATTGATTGTCCAGTTACAAAACTACAACCAGAAAATCTTACTAAAAATACAAATTGAAACATATCTGGCTCAAGTAGTGACAGGTAGCACGGACCCATTGATTGTCCAGTTACAAAACTACAACCAGAAAATCTTACTAAAAATACAAATTGAAACACATCCCTTTCCTAAGCCCCCTCTACAAATCCAAATCACCATAGTAAAATCTGCAACTGGTCACCACAGCAATGAAGAAAAAATTCCAAAATTAAACGCCATTTCTGATCTTCCTCCACTAACAGTTCTCATATTCCAGTCATGCCTAATGACTTGATGTTCCCCAGAATGTACTCCATTTTCACTTCATTTGTCAAAGGTCACCTGTGCTAAGTAGCTTTCTTGGCTTGGCTCCTTCGTCCTGAAGGCTGGGCATGGATGCCCTGTTTTCTATGACACCTACCTAATCATGTCACTTACTACACTACTGTAATAGTCAACTTGTCAGTACTACAAGCTTCTAAGGACAAAATGTCTCATTTCTGTATCTGTACTGCCTGACATGGAGGGAGGGAGAAGGGGAAATACGACTGAATATTTGTAAACCTCAGACTTGAAAGCTACCTCAGAATTAATTCTGCTTCTTCCTCCAACCCTTCATCAAATATCTGTTATCCTGTGTAACCGTTGTAGGCGGCAGAACAGCATCAGGTGTCTGACCAGAGGGGTCAGACCTATCCTGAGTTCAGCAACCTCGGTACTTGGGTTCTGGCTAGGAAAGAATTCAGAGCCAAGACCCAAACAGTAAAAGAACATTTATTTGATAAATCAGAGGTAGAAGAAGCAATCCTAAAAGAAATGGACTTAGGAAACAAATTATAGAGGTAAAGGAAGGGTCCTTGGCGCTTGGGAGCACGCCCTGGGAAGGAAGGCGTAAGCGAACTGGGTCCTACATCCTAAGGGTTTTAAGGGTGGAAATCTTAAGGGAGGTTCCAAGGAAGATCTCAATAGAATATTCAGCAGTTTTCCAGGTGTGTCCTTTCAGGGTTGTTGTCTCCATTGATTGAATGGCTGGCACCAGGGCAGGGGGTCATTATTCAATGCAGTAGTCCTGAGGTCAGCCATGGGGTTAGGGGTCTGATTTTGCTGCTTTTCTGGACCTGGAATATTGCTGATGCCTAGATATTATCTCTAAGGAGGAAAGGTCAGGGGGTCCAAACCTCATGATCAGAGATATGCTAGGGAAAGAAAAGTCCCCCTGGGGGGTGAAGTCCCCCCTACAATTGTTTGTTGCTAGGCACTTGGGGCTTTCCATCCTGGTGATCTTCTGTACCTGGCCCATCGTCCTTGCTCTGCTCATGTCTGTCTAACTGCCTACCACGTAACCACCTCACTAAGTGAATGTCCAGCATCTTGAACACCTCTTGTGATACAGAAATCACTTATTAAACACTGACACCAACAAGGCCTCATGCTGAACACAAAGATTCCAATAGAAGGAGCTCACAGTTCACAGTCTGTTGACAATTTATCTGACAAGAAGATCAAGCCATGCTGTAATGTGGCTGGACATTGCTGACTTTCAGATTCTCACAGGTCTCAGAAACACCAGGCAGAAAGAATGCTGCTGAAAAGTGAGTATGGGAAGAAGAGCCCTGTACCCAGCAAGAGTAGGTATGCTAGCCTAAGGTTAATGCCCAGGAGTTAACTGGCATCCAGGGTGGGCACATTCAACCAAACAAGAACCAAAGTCCACCAAGACTTCAGTCCTGACTAGAAGTAATTTTGTCAATGTTAAACACCCTTTTAGAAAACAGCTCTTTTAAGAACAAGAAAGTCGCAACATTTTCATATAGTTAACACAACTGGGAATTTCCTCAAACTCTTTTTGCCTTAGCTTGTATCTTTTTGATTTGATGTTTTTACTTATTTCAGAAAAAGGAAGGAAGAGGGAGGGAGAAACAGAAACATTAATGAGAGGGAAACATCCATTATCTGCCTCCTGCATGCCCCCTACTGGGGATGGAGCCCGCAACCCAAGTATATGCCCTGACCTGGAATCAAACAGTGACTCCTGATATACAGGTCAACGCTTAACCACTGAGCCATAGCTTGTATCTTCAATGTTTAAGCTCTAGAACTGCCATGTTGTCAAAAGGGAAAGTCTAATGGAACCATTTCTCCCTAATTCCAGAAGAGACTAACAGAACAGAGAAAATATGCTAAAAATCAATTATTTTATTGAGGGTGATAAATTACTCAAGTGTTAAATGGCTGCAGGCAAAGGAAAGAAACATATTAAAAGTCAGGTGTGTTGGTAAAGGAATCAGAGTACTAAAGGCTCTGCCCAAAAAATATTCTGAATCCAGGGTTTCTGTATTTCTCCATGCCTCGATTTCTCATGGGTCACTTGCTATTCAAAAGATTCTGGAGACCAAATGAGATAGAATTCTTTTGGTTTTATCAACCAAGAGTCTTCAGGTCTTCTCTCAGCCAAGGCATCCAGTGATAATATAATTTATGTTTCAGATTCCTCTGGAGGATTTGAAAGTCTCTTTCGCATCGCATTGCCAAGCTCCCTGCTCTTGGTCCTCTTTTCCATGTACTGGAAAATAAAAGGAAGGGGGAGAAAAGAGTAGATTATATTACCATTATATTAAATAAAATACTTGCAGAATAAAAATAATGTTTTTGCGGGCAAAACTCTTCATTTCCCTGAATCCTAGAGGCTATCTAGTACAAGTTCATTTAATATAATACAGTATCCACATTCTAACAGATGTTTAAGTCTTTACTGAATTAATTTCCTCCCAAAATATGAATTCAGTAAATATTTAAGATGAATGAGTTTTGTCCCTGTTCTCCAGGAGCTCACAATCTAATTATCCAACCTGACTGAACACTTCTAGTTATAAGGAGGGCTCACTATCTACTTAATTATTGTTCGAATAACTGTTCCAAAGTTTTTTATGTTGAACCAGTAAGTGTTTCCCAGTAAATTATCCCAATGTCCCCTACTTCTTCTCGCCTGTTATAGTCTTTCAAATATCTGATTACAGATAACCCATTCACAATCTCTTTTGCAGGCTGAATGTCACTGGTTTCTACAACTGTTCACAGAACATGGCTTCTGACTTCTATTATCTTCTCTATAAAGCACCTTTATGAAGTACTTTAATATCAATACTCCTTAAAAAAATATTACACCCAGAATTAAATACAGTGCTCTAGAAGTAGTCTGACAGATGTGGAGTACAATGGGCCTACTAGTTCTTATGACCTGGACACATTACATTTCTATAAATATTACCAAGAGTAACTGACTCACCCGGCTGGCGTGGCTCAGTGGCTGAGCGTCAACCTATGAACCAGGAAGTCACAGTTCGAATCCTGGTCAGGGCATATGCCCAGGTTGTGGGCTCAATTCCCAGTGGGGAGCAGGCAGGAGGCAGCTGATCAATGATTCTCTCTCATCATTGATGTTTCTATCTCTCTCTCCCTTTCCCTTCCTCTCTGAAATCAATAAACAAAATATATCTTTTTCTTATTTTTAAAGAGTAACTGGTTCTTAGCAACCATATTATCCTATTGATTCATATAGAAACTTATAGTCAGCTGAACTTCCCAGGATTTTTTCAACATGATAAGCCATTGAATTAAATTCTCCCCAAATTCTCCCCAAATTCTATGTTTCTGTAATCAGGTGGCTCTAAATGCAGTTTTAACCTTAAATGTTTTCAACCTAGTATTCCAATCTGGCTAGTAGGTTATAAATAACAGGAAATACAGAGCGTGGCACTTTAAAAAGCATTTATTTAAAGCAGAGAAACTTGATTTTAAGTGCTCTTATAAGTACATATGTAGAGGCTTATAATATATATACTAATATAGACATATTTTAAAGGCGAATGAAGAATACCTAGCAGAAGGGGGAAAACTGAGTATATGTGAACTGTTGGACATCAAAATCTTTTAGGAGACAGAGATATGGAAAGAGGTCACAGAAACAAAAGATTAGTGATAGAGTTAACCAAGGACTTGACTGGATCCCCTCCCCTAACTCCGAGTGTGGCGATTCCTGATGTTGAGTTACTTCATCTTCCGGTCCAGTAACCTCAAACATAAGGAGTTGGGTTAGATAATCTTTAAGAAGTTTTTCTAGCCGAGACCAGTTTGGCTCAGTGGATAGAGCGTCGGCCTGCGGACTGAAGGGTCCCGGGTTCGATTCCGGTCAAGGGCATGTACCTGGGTTGCGGGCACATCCCCAGTGGGAGATGTGCAGGAGGCAGCTGATCGATGTTTCTCTCCCATCGATGTTTCTGACTGTCTATCTCTCTCCCTTCCTCTCTGTAAAAAATCAATAAAAATATAAAAAAAAAAAAAGAAGTTTTTCTAAGTCTAAAGTTTTGATTGAAGGGTTCTAACGTATGTCCTGGAATGATAGTTTTCAAACTTTTTTTTCTTCCCCATCAAAGGGCATCTTCAAATTATAGATGAAGCACCAGGTCCCTTTAACAAAAACCATTCCTTTTACCTGTCATACATTAAATTTCCTCTTAAGATTGTTAAGGGGAAAATGTATTTTATTGCTTTAAAAAATTTAAGGGTCCTGGCTGGTGTGGCTCAGTGGTTGGGTGTCGACCTATGAACCAGGAGGTCACACTTTGATTCCTGGTCAGGGAGCATGCCTGGGCTGTGGGCTCAATCCCCAGTGTGGGGCATGAGGGTGGGGGGAGGAGGACCGGGGGGGGGGGATGGGGGGGGGGGAGAAGGATAGAGTGGGAGGACGGGGGCAGCTGATCAGTGATTCTCTCTCTTCACTGGTGTTTCTGTCTCTCTCTCCCTCTCCCCTTCTCTCTGAAATAAAAAATATAGAGAGAGATATATAAAAAATATATATATAGATATATAAAAAAAAAATTTAGGGGGGAAAAAAGTGTCCAGAACATGGATAGATATATGCTCCGAGAAAAATGTTTGATATTTTTAATCACATGTTGCCTCCAGCAATTAGGCTGGGAGGAGGGTCTTAAGAGTTCTGAAGATAATACTTTGTAGCGAACCAATAAAATAAGCATAGAGCAAATTAAAATATAGTCTATATTAAAATACATGTTAAGGGAGTCAAAATGGCCCCTGAATAAAAGAAGAGAGAAAAGGATGAATATAATGTTATTCACAAAACTCTACTGAATAACACAGATAGAATGGAAGGTCAATTAACCAAAAACCAAACAAAACACAAGTAAGAGGATGCTACAGAAGTAAGCATGCTACAGAAGTAAATTTGAAATTTATATGAAAACAAACTTAGACAAGAGTATCTACACTGTAGATTCTACAACACTCTACCAAATAGTCCCTAACAGTTTAGGACTACCTCGGAAGAAAATTTCAGATGATCTAATCACCAATGGCAAAATCATTGATCTACAAGGAGATAAAAATATAAATGTAGGAAAAAAGTTATTCTACACAACTGAAAGCATGTGAGAAATAAACAGCTATACCAAATACAATAGTGTGGGTTTTATCCTATATAATAAAGCGGTGGTATGCAAATTGACCATCACACCCTCACAAGATGGCTGCCTATGACCAGGCTGGTGGCAGGGGGGTTAGTGAGGGACAACCAAATGACTGAACAGCAGGCTGCATGGGGCAACCCAGCCGGCAGGGGGGTTAGTGAGGGACGACCAAATTACTGGACAGCAGGCTGTGTGGGCAACCAGGCCAGCGGGGGGGGAGGCATGAGGCGTGACCAGGCCAGCGGGGGAGGGGGGGAGATGGGGCAACCAGGCTGGCAGAGCGGGGCAAGTGGGGGTCACAAGGCCGGTGGGGGGGGGGGGGCAGTTAGGGGCAACCAGGCCGGCGGGGGGGAGTTAGGGGCGACCAGGCCAGCGGGGAGGGGAGTGCAGTTGGGGGCGACCAGGCTGGCAAGGGGGACAGTTGGGGCAATTAGGCCAGCAGGGGGTGGGGCAGTTGGGGGCAACTAGGCTGGCAGGGGGACAGTAAGGGATGACTAGGCTGGCGGGGGGGGGGCAGTTAGGGGCAACCAGGCCGGTAGGGAGGGGGCAGTTGGGGGCGACCTGACCAGCAGCGGGGGGCAGTTAGGGGCAACCAGGCCAGCAGAGGGCAGTTAGGGGTGATCAGGCCGGCACACAGAGGCAGTGAGGAGCTATCAGGCCAGCCGGGGGTGGGCAGTTAGGGACGACAAGGAAGGCAGGCAGGTTAGTAATTAGGAGCCAGCGGTCCAGGATTGTGAGAAGGATGTCCAACTGCCAATTTAGGCCCGATCCCTGGGATCGGGCCTAAATCGGCAGTCAGACATCCCCAAAAGGATCCCAGATTGGAGAGGGTACAGGCTGGGCTGAGGGGAGCCCCCCCCCCCCGCATGAATTTCATGCACTGGGCCTCTAGTTTTCCTATAATCTTATTAAAAAGGACCAGAGCCCTAAGTTTAGTTTCCATCTAAATGAGCCTTTGCATATAAAGAAAAACTCTTTACAAAAATCAGTTTATAACACTTTCTATGTACATGTTTGTTCACAAAGAAAATTATCACCCTTAACTCAGAACTCTGGAAAGTTCTTCAAACAGTAAAGACACTTTGGAAAGGGATTCCAGGAAGAAGAAAAAAGAAACAAAACAAAAAAGCCCAAAGTAGAAAATATAAAAATAAAGATAGATGCTGGACAGCTTCAAATATTATATCTAACTAGAGGCCCGGTGCACAAAATTTGTGCACTCGGCGGGGGCGGGGGGGGGGTCCCTTAGCCCGACCTGCACCCTCTTGCAATCCAGGAGCCCTTGGGAGATGCCTGACTGATGGCTTAGGCCCACTCTCTGTGGGGAGCAGGCCTAAGCTGGCAGTCGGACATCCTTAGTGCTGCCATGGAGGCAGAAGAGGCTCCCGCCACCGCCGCTGCGCTTGGCAGCCATGAAGCCAGCTTCTGGCTGAGCAGCACTCCCCTATGGGAGTGCACTGACCACCAGAGGATAGCTCCTGTGTTGAGTGTCTGTCCCCTGGTGGTCAGTGCACGTTACAGTGACTGGCCGTTCTGCCATTTGGTCACTTTGCAGATTAGTCTCTTATTATATAGGATAACTAGAGGCCCAGTGCATGAAATTTGTGCACAGGTAGGGTCCCTAGGCCTGGCTAGCAATCAGGGCCAATTGGGCCCTTCTGCTGCCGGCCAGGGCTTTCCTTCCCTCGGCTGTTGGCTGCCAGCCAGGGCCTTCCTTCATTCCATGCTGACCCCTCGTGGTCAGTGCATGTCAGAGCGAGCAGTCAAACTTCCGAGGGGACAATTTGCATATTAGCCTTTTTTTACATAGGATATCTTTCAATATAAGGCTAATGGGGGGGAAAGTTCAAAGATACAGAAAACTGAAAGTCAGATTATTAGTAGTTATAGGTTTTTAAAGTTTCTAGACATAAAATATCTGATGTACAAAACAGAAATAACATTAAATTTATTTTCAAAGATTTAAAATGCACTTTGCTTGGTTAGCAGTACCTGTAAAAATACAATGAATTAGGTATTTTGACTATGTGCCCAAGTTCAAGTCTTAGCCTAAAATTGGGTTCAGAAAATTAGTCTTTCCAAATGAGTCAAACTAGATCCCTGTGGTTTATATATACCATACAGTAGGTCCTCGGGTTAGGTTGGAGATCCATTCCTACAGCACAACATAATGCAATTTTCGCCGTTAAGTTGGAACCCACCTACATAAGCACCTACGTCACTCACATGGAGCAAATACACAGCAGTAATGAAGTGAAACAGTAAAAAAAATTTAAAAGAAAGATAATTCCCGACCTTTACTTGTGGTAAATAAATAATAAAAGAACATAAAGCACATATGTACATACGTCGAAATGATGAAACTTTTTTTTGATAAATAAATGGGAGATGGCGACGTAACCATGAAAAGATGTACGTCGAGTCCAATGTAACCCGAGGACTGTCTGTAATTATAAAGAAATTCAAAATTTGAAAGCTGTCAAGAGCCTAAGTCCAGCCTCACCATCCTATCTAATAAAAGAGAAACATGGTAATTAGCTGTACCTCCGCTACCCTTCCCATTGGCTAATCAGGGCAATATGCAAATTAACTGCCAGCCACGATGGCGGCCGGCAGTCAGGAAGCTTGAAACTAACATGAAGCTTGCTTGCTTCAGTGACAGAGGACTCCAACGTTCCCCGCCTGCCGCTGCCGGCCTCTGAGCTTGCAGTTTGAAACATTGTTACAAATATAGAAGCTAAACAAAACCCCAGAAACCTGCTTTCAGCCAGCCGGGATCTCAGAGCTGGAGTTGAAACAGTGTTTCGATTATAGAACCCAAACAAACCATATACCTGCTTTCAGCAGTGGTGGCCTAAGAGCTGGAGCCAAGCCTCAGAGCTAAAGCTGGCCCAGAATTAAAAAAAGAAAAGAAAAAAGGAGCAGTTGGGAGCTTCAGTCACCCGCCAGCCTGAAAACAGCCATCAGCCCCTCACCCAGACTGGCCAGACACCCCAGTGGGGACCCCCACCCTGAAGGGTGTGTGACCAGCTGCAAACAGCCATCATCCCCTCACCCAGGCTGGCCAGGCACCCCAGTGGGGACCCCCACCCGGATTCGGGACACCTTTCAGGGCAAACCAGCTGGCCCCACCCATGCACCAGGCCTCTATCCTATATAGTAAAAGGGTAATATGCCTCCCAGCACCGGGATCAGCGGAGCAGCGAGGCCTCCCGGCACAGGGATCAGCGTGACAGGGGGCAGCGCCCAAACCCCCTGATCACCCTGCGGCTCTGTGTGTGACAGGGGGCGGGGCCACAACCTCCCTATCCGCCCTGCTCTGTTCATGACAGGAGAAGGCGCCCCAACCTCCTGATCAGCCCTGCTCTGTGCCTGATAGGGGGGAGCTCCCCAACCCCCTGATCGCCCTGCGGCTCTGTATGTGACAGGGTGCGGCGCCCCAACCCCCTGATCCGCCCTGCTCTGTGTGTGACAGGGTGTGGCGCCCCAACCCACCTCCCCCCCACGGGCCCTGCTGTGTGTGTGACAGGGTAGAGCCATAACCTCCCCATCGGCCCTGCCCTGAGTGTGACAGTGGCGGCGCCCCAACCCCCTGATCGGCCCTGCTCTGTGGGTGATAGAGGGCGGTGCCCCAACCGCCCCTGCTCTGTGTGTGACGGGGTAGAGCCATAACCTCCCCATCGGCCCTGCCCTGAGTGTGACAGGGTGTGGCGTCCCAACCCCCTGATCGACCCTGCTCTGTGTGTGACAGGGGGCGGTGCCCCAACTCCCCTATCGGCCCTACTCTGTCAGTGACAGGGGGGAGCTCCTCAACCCCCTGATCGGCCCTGCTCTGTGCGTGACAGGGGGGAGCTCCTCAACCCCCTGATGGGCCCTGCTCTGTGCGTGACAGGGGGGAGCTCCCCAACCCCCTGATCGACTCTGCTCTGTGCGTGACAGGGGGTGGCACCCCAACTCCCCAATCAGCCCTACCCTGAGCGTAACTGAGGGTGGCATTGCAACCACCCGATCTGTCCTGCTCTGTGCATGACAGGGGCGGCGCCCCAACTCCCCAGTCAGCCCTGCCCTGAGCCTGACCAGGGGCTGCACCTAGGTATTGGGCCTGCCCTCTGCCACCCGTGAGCAGGCCTAAGCCAGCAGGTCGTTATCTCCCGAGGGGTCCCAGACTGTGAGAGGGCACAGGCCGGGCTGAGGTACCCCCTCCCCCCGAGTGCACAAATTTTTGTGCACCGGGCTTCTAGCCCTTTATAATAAAGATGTAATATGCAAATGGTCATTACGTAACAACCGGATGACGGATCAGCAGGAGAGTGGGGCAGCAAGCTACAAGCAAGTGGCAGAGAGCTACAGGAGGGAAGAGGGGGGTGGGGAGAAATACAGGAGGGCAGCAGTGAGCTACTGGCTACAAGCAGGCAACAGAGAACTACAGGAGGGGCAGGGCAGCAAGCTATGAGGGGGGGGGCAAGGGGAGCTACAGGAGGGTGGCAGTGAGCTACTGGCGCACAGATTCGTGCACAGGGCTACTGGTGTTGTATAAGGACACTGAGGTCCAGAGAGTTTTAGTTACCTGTAGCCAATAGCTGACTGACAAGTCTTTTTTGTTTGAAAGAGAATCAATTTCCTAAACTTTTAAAAAATTAAACAAAGACAATTATAGATAAAATTCCAATGAAGAGAATCCTCTTTTACCATTGCATCTATTTTTTTTCAATTACAGTTTATATTCAATATTATTTTTTTATTAGTTTCAGGTATATAGCATAGTGGTTAGACAATCATATAGCATACAAAGTCAATTTCCCAAACGTTAAAATTCATCCAGAGGAATTACAAGGATTATAAAAAGGAAGTTGTTTCATGTATATGAATGCCGAACAACAGCAGTATTCTAAAATTGTCCCCAGAAGAGGCTTTCATTTCTCCCCTAGGTTATAGACATACATATAAAATCTATTTTATTCTGTTATACTAAAATTGGGGGGAGGGGAGGGGAAGGAGTTAATAACAACAGTAATATATCATACTGTTTTAAAATGTTCTGTTCTATTGTTGAACGATTTCCATCCTTTAACACTTTTCTTACCTCCTTCTTCAAGCATTTTCTCATCTCCCGATCAAGATCATTGCAATGACCAAAAAATTTCAGAATGCTGTGCTAAAAGGAAGAAAAGGGATAAAATATTTCATCCCATAATATGCTATGGTCTCTGGCACATAGAATTTAAATGCTTATTCTTAGATCATGGGTTTAATGTGTCAACTTGTTAATAAGCAAATAATTAAATCCCAAGTATAAAATATACAAATAAACAGGTTTATCCTGGCCTTCCTTAAAAAGAGGGATAAATACTCTATAGTTAAAAATAAAAAAAACTTTTCCTTGATAAACAGGAAGTCTATTTGCTTGCCAAAACCTCATAGTGACAGTATGTAAACAATTTTATTTCCTAATACCTCCTTTTTTAAAAGCATGTTAAAATAAAAGCATAATCCATTCTCCATTACAGGGAGCAATGTCAAAGAGCAGTGTGGCCATATTAACACAATGAATTTCCTTCACTAGCTAACACACTGTCTTGTAGAAGAGCTACTAAATAAATACTTGATGCCAAAGTCATTTTCTCATTTGACTCCATTCAAAATGTCATCAAAATAAATCCGAAACACGTAACAGTTATTAGATCGCCTATATGGGCCACATAAATAAGCCACTAATTCACAATACATATAAGGAAATCTATGTCTATGTCTGAAGTTCAGTCTGCTTGGTTTGAAAAGCAAAAATAAATATCTCCTAGTGGATTCAAGTCCTATAACTATTATCATGGCAAAAATTGTGTTCCAAAGTAGATTAAGATGAAGACTGAAGTCAAGAAGCTAAATTTTAGTAGGGCCATATCTAGTGTGTTTGCATGTCCACAATTTTTAAGGGTAGATTGGAGAGCATGGTGATTTCCTATAAAAATGCCATAAATGCTGAACTTATAGTTGTAATAATAAGCACTTCTTTTCCTTTTCTAATTAAGACTTTCATGAAAACCAGACAACTCATAATTAGTAAGCTATGCCTCATGCTATTACTTTTTTTCCTAATTCACTACCACTTTAAATGTGCTTTTCTGGTCCACATTGGAAAATAGTCAGTTTTTCTGGCAAGCATTTAAGATAGGCTAAGAGCTCCTACTGGCTACCTAATGACCTCTTCAGAATAAATATTTCCTGTGTATTTTCCCTAAATACTTAAATACAAATAAGCAGGGACAATGCAGCTTACACCCCCTCTGGTCAAGTAGAAATAACAGAAAGGATTAGACTTTTAGAATGCAAGGCAGTATTTCATAGTTCAGCTTACATTTATTCCATCCCATATACATACATCTTATTTTAAAAATCCAAGAAAAAAACTAATTTATATTTTTGTTTTTACCTCAATATTGAGCCCAAATAAGAATTATACTCTTGTGACATTATGTGAAAAACCCAAAATGCCTAGTGGAATTGGTAAAAGACATGTCCATGTATTACAATTCTCTTTTACACACATAGCATATGCCACTAGTGCAGGGGTGGGCAAACTTTTTGACTCGAGGGCCACAATGGGTTCTTAAACTGGACCGGAGGGCCGGAACAAAAGCATGGATGGAGTGTTTGTGTGAACTAATATAAATTCAAAGTAAACATCATTACATAAAAGGGTACGGTCTTTTTTTTTTTAGTTTTATTCATTTCAAATGGGCCGGATCCGGCCCGCGGGCCGTAGTTTGCCCACGGCTACACTAGTGTCTGATGTCTATTTCTAGAGAACTAAACTGGCTAAGCAATTGATTGAATAAGCAAATCAATCAATCAATCAATCAATCAATCAATCAATCAATGTCTGGAAGACAATGTCCCAGGCACTAGAAGGATACACAGTAAGCAAGGTGAACCTGGGCCCTACTCTCATTGCACATAGTCAAAGGGAGGAGACAAAAAATGAAGTGATTGCTATAAAGCAATTTACAAAGTATATTCCAGGAATATCCAGGAGTTCCCAAGACCTTTCTAGGAGATGCATAGGTAAAAAACTATTTTCCTAATAATCAAAGATCTTATTTGATTTGTTCACTTTCTCTAATAAGGGTACAGTGCAATTTTCCAGAGACTACATGAAGTGTAACATCACAGGTTGAATGTAGAAGCAGGTATGAGAATCCAGCTGTATTCTATTAAGTCAGACATTAAAAAGAATTGTAAAAATGCAAAAGCAATGTCACTCTTTTTTTGGAAACTAAGAGCTTTTTATGAAACTTAATTATGTTAACATGAGTTTATTATCATTTTTAAATTATTTTTAATTTCTAAATTAATTTGATATAGTCCATATAAACAAAGTTTTTTGTGGTCCTCGATGATTTTTAAGTATAAAGGAGTCCTGAGACCAAAAAGTGTGAGAACAACTGCCATAAAGTAGGAACTGTGTTATGTATGGTGTTATTGGAGTGCAGGTTAATTATCCCAAGAGAATCTAGGCCAGGAAAGAAGAAAAGGAAGAGGAAATGATAAATTAATCTGAATAAAACCTAGGAGATGACAAGTGGTATAGCAAATGGGAAGTGAAGATTATAAGAAAGGTTCTAAGTCAAGCAAAGGAAAAAGCAAGTGCAAAGGCTTACAAGAGAGAAACATGCTCCAGTATAACTGCAGAAAGAACAACAGGAATGAGGGGAAGAACAGAGGTATAGGACAGTGGTGTAGCCCACAAGGTAAGTAGGGGCCAGTTTCATGAAAATCTTGCAACACAAAGAAAGAAAGAAGATTTTAGTCTACAGACAAAGGGAGCCTTAAAAGTGGAATAATGATTAAACTTGTATTTGAGAGATCACTCTAGATCAGTGATGGCGAACCTTTTGAGCTCGGGCTGTCAGCATTTTGAAAAACCCTAACTTAACTCTGGTGCCGTGTCACATATAGAAATTTTTTGACCTTTGCAACCATAGTAAAACAAAGACTTATATTTTTGATATTTATTTTATATATTTAAATGCCATTTAACAAAGAAAAATCAACCAAAAAAATGAGTTCATGCCGAAACCGGTTTGGCTCAGTGGATAGAGCGTCAGCCTGCGGACTGAAAGGTCCCAGGTTCGATTCCGGTCAAGGGCATGTACCTGGGTTGCGGCCACATCCCCAGTGGGAAATGTGCAGGAGGCAGCTGATCGATGTTTCTCTCTCATCGATGTTTCTAACTCTCTATCTCTCTCCCTTCCTCTCTGTGAAAAATCAATAAAATATATATTAAAAAAAAATTTTTAAAAAAAAATAAATAAAAAAAAAAAATGAGTTCATGTGTCACCTCTGACACGCGTGTCATAGGTTGGCCATCACTGCTCTAGATGCATTGTGGAAAGTAAATTAAGACAGAGAAGAGTACAAAATAGTCAGGGGACCACTTGACCTCAGTAAGACAACTTTAGAATTAACTGGTGTTAAGAATAGACATATATTATCTCAGTGGAACAGACCAGAGAGCCCAGAAATAGACCCACTCACAAGTGGTCGGTTGATTTTTTACAAAGGCACAAGGTAATTTAGTGGGGAAAGAATAAATAAGTAATATATAAGTTATGTTGGAATAATTGGGTACTGACAGGGAAAGAAACTGACTCATACTTCACACCATACACAAAAATTAAAACATGATATGAATCACAAACCTAAATGTAAAACTTCTAAAAGAAAAAATAGAAAATCTTTGTGACCAGGAAATATACAAGATCCGTAGAACATAAAAAACACAAACAAAAGAAAAAACTGGTAAATTAGACTTCATCAAATTTACTAATTTCTCTCCAAAACACACTCTTAAGAAAATGAAAAAGGATGCCACAGATTGGGAGAAAATATTCAGAATACACTTATCAGACAAAAGACTTGTATACCCAATGATAAAAGTAACTCTGGCAACTCAGTAATAAGACAAAGAACTCAATTTTTTAAAATACTGGTAAAAGGCTTTATATAAATGGCTAATAAGCACATGAAAAGATACTCAAAATCATCAGCCATTAGGGAAATAATAATTTAAAACCAAATGAGATACTACAACATTCCCATTCAACAGCTAAAGTTAAGAAGACATACAATACCAATTCTTCATTTAAATGTATGCTGAAAATAGTTTGCCTACTATCATCAACAACATTCTTTGAACCAGTAAAAATACCTGACTTCACAGGTCATGGGTTTTACTTACTTCCTTACTTTCAGTCTTAAAATTTTGCTCATTTAAATCACACTTACTACTATTATAATTTGGTATATCTATAGTTTAAGAATATCATGAGGAAAATAATGCATCATGCAAAGTTAAAGACGCTTATCACTGTCTCATGCATGATGTAAATGGAAAAAGCTACATATTCAACATCTGTAAAAAATACCAGCTCAACTTAATGCATTCCAAAAATGGGCTTTTTTTCTATTTTGGTTTTAACCATGGAATTTTACTTCCATTCTACTAACAAGTAAATCTGTCAAATTAAGCCAATCATAATTTAAATTTATTAATATCTAATTATTAAAATGTTTCAATTTCCTTTAAATACAGAATGACATACATCAAGGAACAGAAAATCTTAGATTAATTCCATTATAATCAGAAGAATCAGAGCTGAACATATTGTTCTAGTGCCCTGTAATTAGGAAAAGTACTTTATTGTAAGAATATGGATTCTAACTAATGCATATCATTTCAAAAGATCCCTAACAAACTTTCATCCTTGATTTTTACTAATCATAAAAGGAAGTGATTTATAAAAAAATCACAGCATCAGTTGCTAGTCTTTACTAAGCTAAGACATTATTGTTCCCTTCCATTAGTGGACATAACATTTAAATTACATCAGTGTGTTGTACCTAAGCTTCATTTTTACTTTATAATATTTTTTCTGAACTCTTACATTTTTGTGACATTCCTTAAGTAAGTTAATCAAGACGTTGCATTCTTCAGTGTGCAAGTGTGGAGATAAGTCAGGATGCATCTTTAGGAGGTGATGGAGCACAGCAGAGCAACCTGTGGATACAAGAGTGTCTTGAATGTCTGTGACTTTATTTGTTAATGTGACCTAAAACTATTTTCATATTTTTAGTAAGAACCTTTATCAGAAAAGAATGTTGACCTTAGGCAAATTATCAAACTTGAGCCTCAAGTTCCTTATCCAAAGATTTAACAGATTCAGTAATTTATCAGGAGTGTTTAGAGAACATGCAGGTTCAGAAAAAAAGCAGGACTCCTCAATAGACCCTATCCTGGAAATAAGCATTCAAGCAGAAATAGCTTGCCTATGTTAATAAGCCCCACATTCCTGAAACTGATTACAACTCATTTTGTTCAGATGAAATTCTCCTAATTACGAGAACTGGCTTATTAATCCTTTAAAAATGTGTATTCCTCTGAGAGTGTTAAAGGGAAAATTAGTCATCTCACATTAGTATGAATTAATATAGACTGCTTTCTTCCTAACATCTGGCTAGGAAAATCTAACTAACCAATGAAAAGAAACAACAAACAGATGGGAAATAAATTTTTAAAATTTAGCAGATATACTCATAAAATGCTATTATTACCATGAAAACAAGAAGCTGAAATCCCTAAAATTGGTTTAACTGGTTCATTCACAAAGAAAATTAGCAGCCACGGTCAAAGGAAAAACATTATATTGAGGTGTACTACAGTTATATATCACTATACACCGATTGTCTTTTTTAAACCAATTCTTTTTAACTCAGAAAAGATAACCGAAAGGAAGAACCAATTAATTGCTTTAATCTTTTTAAAGTTCTAAGAAAGAAAACATTAGAGAAAATTATGACCTTAGATTGGGCAAAGAGTTCTTACATACATAAAAAGCACAACCCACGAAAGAAAAAAATTGGTAAAAACTCATCAAAATAATAAACTTTCTCAATTTGAAATCACCGTTAAGAAAATTAAAAGACATGCCACAATTTAGATTCATCAATTGTAATAAACATATAAACTCTGGTGGGGGATGTTGATAGTGAGGGAAGTTGTGAGTGTGTGGAGGCAAAAAGTATATGGGACCTCTCTACATTTGCTCAATTTGGCTGCCAACCTGAAACTTCTCTAAAAAAATAAAATCTACCACAAGCCACAGACTAAGAAAAAATATTTGCTAGTCATATATGATAAAGAACTTATATCTAGAATAAAATAAAGAATGCTTACAAACAAGCCAATGTTACAAATGGGCCCAATAAATGGACAAAAGATTTGAATAGATATTTCACCAAAGATGGTATAGGACTAGTTAATTAAGCTCAAGAAAAGATGCTGAGCACCATTAGTCATTAGGGAAAGGCAAATTAAAACCACAATGAGACAGAACTACATATCCACCAGAATATCTACAATCAAAAAGTCAGACAATGCCAAGCATTGGTTAGAATGTGGAAAAAATGGACCTCATGCATTGCTCTGGAGAATGTAAAGCAGAACAGACAATTTGGAAGATAATTGGCAGTGTCTTAAGAAGTTAAATGCAAACTTACCATAAGATTTGGAAATTACATTCCTAAGAATCTATTCAAAAGAAATGAAAACACAATGTATAGAGTGGGGCAAAAGTAGGTTTACAGTTGTGAGTACATGAAACAGTTTATTCTTATATTATTTACTAGAGGCCCGGTGCACAAAAATTTGTGCACTCAGGGGGAAGGGGGAGTCCCTCAGCCCGGCCTGTGCCCTCTCGCAGTCTGGGACCCCTCAGGAGATAACGACCTGCTGGCTTAGGCCTGCTCCCGGGTGGCAGAGGACAGGCCCAATACCTAGGTGCAGCCCCTGGTCGGGCTCAGGGCAGGGCTGATTGGGGAGTTGGGGCGCCGCCCCTGTCATGCACAGAGCAGGACAGATCGGGTGGTTGCAATGCCACCCTCAGTTACGCTCAGGGTAGGGCTGATTGGGGGGGTTGGGGCACCGTCCCCTGTCACACTCAAGGCAGGGTCGATGGGGAGGTTGCGGCACCACCCCCTGTCACGCACAGAGCAGGGCCAATCAGGGGGTTGGGGTGCTGCCCCCTGTCACGCACAGAGCAGGGCCCATCAGGGGGTTGGGGCGCCTTCTCCTGTCACGAACAGAGCAGGGTGGATAGGGAAGTTGTGGCCCTGCCCCCTGTCACACACAGAGCCGCAGGGCGATCAGGGGGTTTGGGCGCTGCCCCCTGTCACGCTGATCCCTGTGCCGGGAGGTCTCGCGGCTCTGCTGATCCTGGTGCTGGGAGGCATATTACCCTTTTACTATATAGGGTAGAGGCCTGGTACACGGGTGGGTGCCGGCTGGTTTGCCCTGAAGGGTGTCCTGGATCAGGGTGGGGGTCCCCACTGGGGTGCCTGGCCAGCCTGGGTGAGGGGATGATGGCTGTTTGCAGCTGGTCACACACCCTTCAGGGTGGGGGTCCCCACTGGGGTGCCTGGCCAGTCTGGGTGAGGAGCTGAGGGCTGTTTTCAGGCTGGGGGTGACTGAAGCTCCCAACCGCTCCTTTTTTTCTTTTTTTCTTTTTTATTCTGGGCCAGCCTTAGCTTTGAGGCTTGGCTCCAGCTCTTAGGCCTCCACTGCTGAAAGTAGGTTTCTGGCCTTTGCTTACAATGTTGCGATCCTGCTGGCTGAAGCCCGCCGACTAAAGCAGGTTTGTGGGGTTTTGTTTAGCTTCTATATTTGTTACATAGTTGCTTAGAGTTGCAGCTCAGAGGCCTGAAGCGGCAGGCAGGGAACATTGGAGTCCTCCGTCACTGAAGCAAGGAAGCCTCATGTTAGTTTCAAGCTGCCTAGCTGCTGGCCGCCATGTTGGCTGGCAGTTAATTTGCATATTGCCCTGATTAGCCAATGGGAAGGGTAGCGGTCGTACGCCAATTACCATGTTTCTCTTTTATTAGATAGGATTAGTGTACAACTGTAAACCTACTTTTGCCCCACCCTGTATATCCACACAAAGATATGTATGTAAATGTTCACAACATCCTCTATAATAAAAGGGTAATATGCAAATTGACCCTAACAGCAGAACAACTGGTAATGACTGGCCACTATGACACACACTGACCACCAGGGGGCAGACGCTCAATGCAGGAGCTGCCCCCTGGTGGTCAGTGAGCTCCCACAGGAGGAGCTCTTCTCAGCCACAAGCCAGGCTGACAGCTGCCAGTACAGCGGTGGTGGTGGGAGCCTCTCCTGCCTCCTCAGCAGCGCTAAGGATGTCCGACTGCAGCTTAGGCCTGCTCCCTGCTGGCAAGTGGACATCCCCCGAGGGCTCCTGGTCTGCCAGAGGGATGTCTGACTGCCAGCTTAGGCCCAATCCCCCAGGGAGCAGGCCTAAGCCAGCAGGTGGTCATCCCCTGAGGGGTCCCAGACTGTGAGACAGCACAGGCTGGGCTGAGGGACCTCCACCGCCTCAAGTGCACAAATTTTTGTGCACCAGGCCTCTAGTTATTTATAATAGCTAAGACTGGAAACAACCCAAATGTTCAATAACCAAGTAATTGGATAAACAAATGTAGTATATTTACATAATGGAATACTATTTCTCAATTAACACATTGTTTGCGGGTAGTTTTTATCGCGCACTAACAGGTGGCGTGGGCCATTTTTGCTAATTTTTTGCGCAAATGGCAACGTTCAGTAAAATTACGATAACTTTAGTTTACGTATTTATACGTTACCCACATTCTACCGCTAGTCTATAAAAAACGTATTAATACGTGTCCCGTGCTCTACTACACTGATAGAACATATAAATACGTAAAACGTATAAATATGTTTCCCGCATACAATGTGTTAAAATAAATTAACTAACACATGTGCCAATGTGGATGAACCTCAAAAGCACAAAGCTAAATGAAAAAAAGCCAGATTCAAAACACTACGCTGTTATGTATAGTATCCGTTATCTGATTTCTGCTTCACTTTTTCTTCTGAAAGAAGCTGTACATAGTTTAGTCACCTAGCAAATATCTCTGTTTTATTTTATAAATATATTTAACAAAGTATTTTTGCATATATCTATCAATCAGCCCTCAAATGTGTGCTTTTACAGTTCAGAAACAAACTTATGATTTACTAAAATGACTTTTTTAACTGACATAGTAAACACCTGAGAAGACACATGGTTGCAGAGATAAAAACATGCATTCATGTTGTATATAAGCACAAATGAATATCATGAAATATCTATAATAATAAAAGTGTAATATGCTAATTTAGACTGGACGTCCTTCCGGACAACCTTCCGGATGAAGCCAGGCTGTAAGGGAAGCCTGGGTCCTGGATGCCGGAGGGAAGCCAGTGCCAGCAGCTGGGGGAAGGAAGGCCTGCTCTTGCATGAGTTTTGTGCATTGGGCCTCTAGTTTAACCATAAAACAATACCATTATTCTTAGAACACACTTAAATAAGTGCTGATACCTTTCACTAGTTATCTTTAAAAGCCTATTCTACTCCTGGCTGTTGTGGCTCTGTTGGTTAGAGCACTGTCCCGTACACCAAAAAGTCTGGTTCGATTCCATCAGGGCACATACGTGGGTTTCAGGAGGTGGCCAATCAATGTTTCTTTATCCCATCTCTCCCAACTCTCCCATCCCTTCCTCTCCCTCCCTCTCTCTCTCAAAAAATCTTTCTAAAGCCTATTCTAATAACACTAGTATAACTCAAAGTAATTTTATAAAGTAAAGAAAAGCTAGACATATATGCTAATGCTTATTTTTAAAGTTTCTTCAAAGCCATAAGCACATATCTACATTATTAATGTACAAAATAATTTGTTAAAACACTATGTGCTAAGCACAAGTTTAATAATCCTCCCAATAACTACAGGAAGTACCTTTTAAAATTCAGTTGAATCATAAGAAATTGCCTTTTTGTAGGTCAAAATATACATTACCCACATTTCCATGGCAAAACTAAGCCTCAGTTACAAAGTAAGTAGCAGTTCATCTCTTATCACAACATATTTTTTCCCACATTCAAAATAGAAAAGACATACCTTCCCAGTAGTTTGTGAATGAAATAAATTCAGTTAGAAAAACTACTATTTCCCAAAGAGCCTTTGGTTGGCTACAAGTTCAACGGGTACTAATTCTAGGCCTAGTTTCCAAAGAAGTCAATATACTTGTAATATTATCCTGTATTATTAGAAACAGAGGGTCTGTCTACAACAAGAAAAAGAGCAGTACTATACTCATCCTGATTTGCTATGTCCAGAATATTTACTATTTAAATATTCCTGGGGAGAGTGCTCAGGATGGTGATGGTTCTGACACTAGATTTAAACAGAAAATCATGAATGAAATTGACAATATTTACCAATGTAGGGGAATCCCCAATAGAGGAGACAGATAAAAGATACAACTTGGTTAAGTTGGACAAACAATGGATTTGATGGGAGAAAATGGTTTGAAAGCAAAAATTGTGGACTCAGTTATTCACAAGTTATATCACTTTATTTACTTGATATAAGACCTAAGTCTCTTCTTTCTTAAAAGGGAATTAACTCTTAACCTATACCTCCATGTTATCATGAGGTTTAAAATAACATATACGTGACTCTCTGAAACAGGGAACAGTGTGTGTGACATATGTAAAGTATTATTTGTATATCTGAAATGCTTTGTCACAAAATAGAAAAGGTTGAATTGAATTTACTCTGAGGTGTTTCCAAGAACAAGACTATAAACCAAAAGGTGGAAATTCCAGAGGCAGTCATCTTCATGGAGCTGTCCAACAATGAAATGCCATGTTGTATGAAGCTCTTGGTTATTGTCCAAACGTGCCCAAAAGAGACTGGCTACATCAATTAAGGATGCCACAGAATATATTCTGACATTACATTCTTAAGTTTCTTCTCAAATCTAAGCTCACAATTAAATGACTTTAAGCCAATTCCAAAAACAAAATTCACACTCAAATGATAAACACCTGTTACTACTAGGAATACAAAAACAATTTCAAACGGGTAGTGCCAAGGTACTTATGAACATCAGCTGCACCACTGAAACAAAAGGGAACGGAATATTCATTTGTGATAAGCCTTCAAGCATGGATGTTTGCAGTGAGAAAGAGGGGGATAAAGCTCATTATTATTCATTTAAAGAACAAAACTTCAGTCCCACTCGCATTTAGAAAACATCAGAAGGGTTAACTTGTCACAATTACAAAACTCCCCTCCCCTTGCCAACCCCACCCACTTCCTCAACTTTGCAAACATTGATACCAAAATAGCTGAAATTTTTAAAATTGTTCAGCTGTGGCAATTTGATATTTTGATAAATGGCTAGTAGGCCCATAAAAAGCAATTTTACCTTTTATTTTGGGGTAACCTGGGTGGGCAGAAGCAGTAGGGTACTCTGACAATATAAAAATTCGTCATATTATATGTACTCCTTTACCTTATTTTACCAAGACTTTTGAGGTGAAATATTCCTAATGAGCATTCTATGATAGAAGATTTCAACCACCAGGTGGCACCATTTCAGGAAAACTTAACCAAGAGTAAGCAATACATAACTAATAAAGAAAAGGGAGTAAGCCTTCCAATTACACCATTTAGCAGATCTATAATTACAAGGAGTTTGAAAACCCATTATTATTTTAATGCCACTTTTGTTTTCTTTGGATCTTGCTATTGTGTGACTGCACCAAAAATAAATTTACACGACAGTTGCAATTTCTAATGTCACTTTAAAAACAAGCAGAAAGCAGGACCACAAAAATCTCTGAAAAAATCTGTTCTCCAGACAAACCTGTAAACCAGTATTTAAAGCTTTCTAAAACACATTCTTAAAGCCCACATTTCAGAAAGCACTGGAATTAGTTAAATTAGCGCTTCTCCAACTATCATTTTAAATAATGCACCATATTTAGCAGAGGCAGCAGACATAGCAGATAACAGTAGGCCACCTACCCTACCTACTTGTACTTATCACAGCTGCCAAGTGACCACATCTAAACAAATGCTGTTAAGTGCCTGGTATGCCCAACGTACAGACCGGCCCCTCCGCTAACAGAGCAACCCCGGGGCTCAGGGAGGACTGACTGCAGGGCTCGGACTTCCTCGCATCCTTTCCTAAGGAATTGGTCAAGCTGTAGCTTCCCCTGAACACGTACCAGCACTTACCAAGTGCTGAGCGCTCTGCCACGTCAGGTGAATTTCCGGGGAGAAGTGGGGGGACTTAGTCCATACACCCCAAAGAACACACAGGCTAATGAGGGAATATCCTTATAACTGCACCTAGTATACAACTGAGCAAATAATTATTTGCTCAGTAATTGTTTGCTGAATGTTGAGTTGAGGATTATCATAGATTTGAAAATTGGTTCAGACCTCAACATAGTGGTGTGTTTTGTTTTGTTTTAAGGATGGAAATAAGGCTCATTTAAAATCAACTAAACAAGTGCAAAAGCCTGTATGTATAGGAAAGGAGATCCAAAGGGGGGGTCACAACAAAATTCCTTTACCGGCACAAACTTCTTCTATCCGTTTAAAATTTTACATAAAGGTTTCCGGAACTCGGGTTTACTTACAGCGCCCACTGTGAAACCAGGGGCACGGTCATCTTTAAGCCCGATGAAAGGGATATGGACGGCGCATTCCCTGAACAATGTACTGACGGGGATCTCACGGGACCGTCCCATCGCAAGACGGATCGGTGCCAAGGTTCACTGCAGCGGAGATGCGCCTTTGCAGGCTTTTATCTTCTACAGGCAAATTCTAAACTACATAATCAAGAGCAATAACCATGCAATTGTATTGAGCGCTCGCCGTGTCAAACACGGTGCTAAGGACCTTCCTTCTCACAATCGATGCAACGGGTTTATACCCATTTTTCAGGCGTGGACGCAGAGGCTCGGGGAAGGGAGAAGCCCGCGCTGGGTCAGAAGGCTCGAGAGCGACGGGAGAGACGGCAGGAGAGTGAAAGCTCGAGGCCACGCCTGCCCTCAGCTAGGAGCAGGTCCTCAGCCAGAGCTGCGGGCGGGCAGCTCAGGACGCACCTGTGGCGACTCTGACAAAATCCCCGGCGCCAGGCGACGGCCGCCCCGAGGACCCGGCCTTCCAGGTCCCAACCTCCAATGGCAACAGGAAAGTCCCCACAGGACGCGACGCCGAGGGGCGCTCGAGAACGGGGACAGGTGGGTGTCCCGCGGCCTCCCGGGACGCCGCGGTCGGAAAGAGCGCGCTCCTCTGATCCCCCCGACTCCCAAGACTCACCGCCTCACGGCCACACCTGAAGAGCTGGAGCGGAATTCACCAGCGAGCACGCCTCACCCCAAGTCCCGCTGGCCGGGGCGCCAGAGCCGGTTAGTCCGCAAGGAGAACGCTCCTACGCCCTCCACAGCTGACCCGCTGGGCCGGCCCCCGCTGCCTGCCACCTCTGAGGCGCGTGCGCCGCCCGGGCTGGACGGGCCCATTCTGGGGGAACTGAAGGGGGAGCCAGCCCACAGAGGCACGGTGAAGCCTAAAGAACAACCTGAGCCAACAAGTCAGATGTCGTGTCTGAGATTAACTGCATTTAAGCAATATTCTCTGCTGAGAAAAACGACGTGAGAGCTCGCCGAGTTTCACTTCTGCCGCTTCCCCCACGCGGCCCCCTGCGAAGGAGAGACAGTCCAAAGTTTGCGCCCCCCGGGGGGCGGGGCTCCAGGGCTGCGGGGACTGCCATTGGTGGCTTTGAAGGCACAGCGGGCGGGAACAGCTGTAAGAAGTGAGGCGGCTGGCGATGTGAACGGTAAGAGACCCCCTAACAGCATGGAAGCGGGCCCCAGAGGGTGGAGGAGGCCCGAGAACCCACATCCCAAGCCTCTGAGGCAACTTTCTGGGACTGCCACACGCCCCCAGGCGGGGGACTGGCGCTTGGTCACGGCTGAAGGCTGAAGGCAGAAGGGCTGGAACTGCGGTTGAGGCTGGCGAGGGCTATGACGCTTGGTCGTGACCTCACATCCGCCCTGTGGGGGCGGGCTTACGAAGGCGTGCGTCAGAGCTGAGCCGCTCCGAATGGTCACGTGACGGCCTGCTCGGCTAGCCCAGCCTTAGATTGCTGTTTTGCCCAGTGTTGGGTGTTTTGATTTTTCAGTTAACTTGGCGTCCGTCCTCTTAGGTCCATGCAGCCTCCCGCGTTACTTCTTATGCTTCTTGTTGCAATTCTTTAGCGGTGTAGTTCTACAGGAAGGTCACTTAAAAGGGCTCTTTTTTGTCATGCGTTCATTCAACAAATACATCTTGAGCACCTTCTATAAGCCAGGAGCTGAGCTGCATGCTAGAAAATAAGAAATTAGGTCATCACAGGGAATCAGAGTTTACGCAAGAGTTTTTCGACTTTGTTAGTGAGATTAAGTGCGCTCTTTCTACCAAAATTCTTCAGAATGGCATTCTACACACTTTACCCAACATTTTTGGAATCTTCTGAGGCACTCTAAAATGCAGAATCTCAAGCCCTACTTGGTGACTTGAGTGTGTCTAGCATGCATACGTGCTCCTTAATTTGTTACATGAATTAGTAAATGAATGAATGGTTTCCATATTATTGCCTTCAAAAGTTCAAAATACTCTAGCCAAGAAAGGAGAGAGAGCACTAATTTTTAAAAACTCTGAAAGACATTTAAATATACAGCTTAAGGAGAAAGTTATTAAATCCTCTTGTTAAAACACTTTGCAGATTGCCTGAGAAACAATAAAATAAACATTTGGGTGTTTGACCTACAAATCAAAATCTCAGGCTAAAAATATGATGTTTAAAAAAATTAACTGTTAAGTTAAACTTGTGCTGTTTTTGTTTTATTACAGTGCCAAAGAAATGGATGAAATTGTTGCTGAGTTTATCAAGAGGACCATCTTGAAAATCCCAATGGCTGAAATGATGACAATCCTGAAAGCCTGGGATTTTTTGCCTGAAAGTCAACTGCAGACCATAAACTTCCGGAAGAGAAAGGAATCTCTTGTTCATGACTTGGTTATGCTTTGTGAGGTAACAATGTTCAAAATGATTAACCTTGAACTTCATGCTTTGGTTTTTTTCTTTGTTCCCTTAGTCCAAAAGGGATTTAAGGCAGCTGCTAAGCTGTGAAGTGATGAGGCTACGTACTGCTATAGTGGAGAAGACACTAATTTTTAATTGGCTTTTCAGCTTATCAAAACTGCTTACAAATCATTAAGAAAAAAGTGAATACCATGTGAGAAAAAAACAGACAATACAAGTAATGAGCAGCATTCTTTTTATACCTATGAGATTGTCCACGATGAAAAGATAATACTCAGATGTGCTGGTCGAGTTGTATAGAAAGAGATACTCTTTCACATGTATTTATTTATTTATTTGCTTTTTGCTTTAAAAAGATTTCAGACTTTCAGAAAATTTGCTAGTACAAAGAATTCCCATGTTCCAGTATACCCTTCCCTTAGTCACTTTTAAATAAATATACTTTATGACCCAGCAGTTCCACTTCTGGAAATTAATGTGGGTAAAATCATAAAAAATAAAGAAATGTATATAAATATAATTGATATATATATGTAATTATAAATATGTAAGTATATATAAAGACGTTAACTAGCATTGTTTATAAAAACAAAAAATTGCAAATAAACTATACATAGAAGATGATTATACTCCACATAAAATATTATTCAGCCATTAGAAAGAGTAAATTAGATGTTTGTGTGCACATTGAAAAAAACTATATGCTATGCATACATATAAATGTATAATGTATAAAATAGTGGTTCTCAACTGGGATGAATTTTGTCTTCTGGAGGATACAATGTCTGGAGACATTTTTGGTTGTCAAAACTGTAGGAGTGGGGTGCTACTGGATTCCAGTGGATAGAGGCCAGGGGCGCTTCTTAATGTCTTACAACAGCTCTCCACAACATAGAATTATCTGACACAAAACATCAGTAGTGCCCAGTTAAGAAACCCTGTTGAAGAACAAAACAAAAATTAAAAGTGATGAATGAGGAGTAAACTGTGGGAGAACAGGTGTAAGTACCTGTACTAAACATGAATCAGAAGGTGTGTTTCTTACTTAACGGGAGAGTAGATCGGAGACAGGTTAATAAAGTATTGAGAGGGTGCTCATAGTCTGTCCTAAGCAATTCTAAAATGTGCTGTGATTCTAGGGTAGAATCAAACCGATAGCCATGTTTACTGAATATTTTACCTTTTCTTTCAGGAGAAGCATGCGAATGTCAATGATGCTGCCCTTTTAGACATTATTTGTAAGTTCTGGTGATTTGTATTTATATTGAACCAATACAGTTTCATCAGAGAGGTAATATTGTAGATAAGAGCTCAAGTTGACCTGGTGTGTAAAATCCCAGCTCTATCGCTTACCGGTCCTGTGTCCTTTGCCAAGTCACATTGCCTTTCTAGGCCCCAGACTTCTACTAGTAAATAGAAATAATAATAGCACCTGTTAATATAATAACATTATAATAATATAGCACAGGATCGTTGTGAGGGTTAAATGAGATCATGCTTGAAAGGTTCTTAGCACAATGACTGGCATATATAAGTACGTATTAATAGAATTGAAAATATATTTCTGAAAATTTGTTCTTATTATAGTGCATCTTGTAAGGGACGTAAGGATTAAAACTGACTGGACTTTTCACGTGGTGTGGTCTAGGGCAGCAGTCACCAACCTTTCGGATCTCACGGACCACCAGTGGTCCGCAGACCACCGCTTGGAGACCACTGGTTTAGGGGGACTGAGTGGGAGGAGCACACATGGCTCCGGGGTTTATAGGTGCAACTAGAAGGACAGTGGAGCCCCTTGCTAAGTAAGATAGGGAACACTAGAGGTGGACCGTTTATGTCACAAAGATCATAGATTAGCCTAGGACGTGTTCTGTTTGAGGAAGTGTCTTCATGTATTTAAGTCCTTGCCACTTAAGCATGAACTTTTGCATGATGTTTAATGGAATCATTACAACAAAAATTTTAATTTCTATTATTATTATAACAACCTTATTCAGAGATCAGTTAGCAGGCTATCTTAACTCTGAAATACAGAATCAAGAAGAAAATACCAGAAAGGAACAAAAGCGCTTCAGATGCTGTCTCTTGGGCAGGTATCACATTGTGCCAGATTACACCTGTTTAGACAAAACTTAGGGAATCAAGAATTGTCAGGCCATTGCTATAAATGGGGTGAGAGGGAGATCTGGGGACACCAGGCACCAAATATAAAACAAAAAAACCCCCACTAAACTGTAGGAAGGACAGAAAGTACAAAAAGCACAGTAAGTTGGTGCCCTTGTGTGTTAGGGTCAGCAGCCCCTTTTTATGGGATGCAGAGCACCTTGGTCCTAGGTGCAAAGACACAGGGATGCAGATGGAGGTCAGTACAGGGACAGAGTAAAGCCGGATGATAATGTAGTGGGATTGAACTTAATAACTTCCTAGGTCCATTTTTACTCCAAGACACTCTTAAGTTTATAACTCCTGAAAGGTGTCTTCTATATCATTCATTCATTCATCAGATACAATACAGAGTGCCAGCCAGTGTCTAGACCAGGGGTGGGCAAACTTTTTGACTCGAGGGCCACAATGGGTTCTTAAACTGGACCGGAGGGCCGGAACAAAAGCATGGATGGAGTGTTTGTGTGAACTAATATAAATTCAAAGTAAACATCATTACATAAAAGGGTACGGTCTTTCTTTTTTTTAGTTTTATTCATTTCAAATGGGCCGGATCCGGCCTGCGGGCCGTAGTTTGCCCACGGCTGGTCTAGACACTGAATACAACAGTGCACAAGACAAAGTCGTGTATTCCACAGGATTCTAGTTGGGGAGACAAGCAGTATACAAATGACCATCTATATGATGTGATGTAGGATAATGGTAAGTGCTATGAAGTAAACTAAAGCAGGGTGGGGTGAGGGGGTCAGATTGGTTAGGGTGATCAGGAGCTATTTTATTAGAGACTAGATGAGGTGCAGGAATGAAGTATGCAACGAGCTAGAAGAATGCTTCCAACAAAGGAACAGCCAGCTAGTACACACACCAGTTATGGTGAGCACACCATCCCTGGCATGCTCAATAAATGCTGCATTCTATGTGGAAATAAATGATCTGACTTAAGAGTAAATGCTAAAGCTCTATTAGATTGAGCTAATTCTTTATGACATGTTTTATTTGGAGTAAATGTTTTATTTGGAGTAATTCTTTATGACATGTTTTATTTGGAGTAAATTTCATCCATGTAAAATTTATCTTTGAATAAAAATGTATAACCGAATTTATAAATTACTATTTTCTCCACCTTCATGTTATTTTATAATTAAAAATAACATGAAGGTGGAGAAAATAGTAATTCATAAACACAGTACTTCTATGATATAATAGCAAT